TATCAGATTAATTGTTGCAAATGATTGTATGCAATTCAAAAGACATGCATTTGTCCATTTTCATCAATGGCCGTCAAGCCCTGAAATCTGAATAATAAATTAAAATAAAAATATTTTATGATAATAAAATAGAATCTCATATAGTTTCCATATATTTCATCAATCTTGCTTAAGAAATCATGCAAAAATATCAAACTCTTATGCAATTTCATAAGATGTTCAAAAGACATATTTTTGGAGGGAATTAAATTTGTAAATCTAATTTTAATTTTAAAATTCTGTTCTATACTGTACCCACTCAATCCCCAGTATACTATAAGACCAAAACATATGGTCTTTATCCCAAAAAGACTGTCCATCACTGTTTAAAGTAGCCCAAGCATATCAAGCATATGATAAAAAAGTAGCCCAAGCATATCAAGCATATGATAAAAATGTAATGGAAGAGCATTAATTTGTTATTAAATGTTTTAAAATTTGTTATAATACAGTGTGAACTAAATCATTCTGCCTCTTCTATGCCCCTCCTTTGAGGGGAAATAAAAGTAACATAATCAGTTTTGGGTAATATATATATTGACTAAAGAAGGTATGCTGGGGCTTTCGGTTTGAGCTTCTTCAGCGACATACCGAAACCTCAACTCTGCGAGGCTTCGATCCGTGCTTGCCGCTGGAGCGCCTCGAGCCGGCTGGTTTCTGGGCTAAGCCGAAGAGGTGGTGAAGAGGGGGGAGACTGCCAGCAGGGTTGAGGAGAGCCGCATCTCTCCTCCCCAGCTGGCCATTACTCCCTTACCTGAAGGCAGTTGCAGCGGTGATCAGAAATGGCCACCACACAGAAGAACTCAACCGGAAAAGAATGTGCAGGAGGAAAATAAGAAGAGAAAGTTTTGGTTGACCGGGTCAAACAGCAAAAGTAACAAATAAGGTACCCTGGAATTGAAACTATTAAAAAACAATAACATTGTTCCCTAAGAAGATTTTTAAGCTGCGAAGGAGAGAGAAAAGGGAAAAGATTTGGTTTTCTCCTTTCCCTATACTGACTGCTAAGAGATTTAAGCAAGAAATTGGAAAAAAATCCATTTTGACATCAATAGGCATTTAATGCTGAAAATAAAAAGTCAAAGGGATAATAAAGATTTCTGGATAATTAAAAGCTTTTGAAAACAGGAAAGGAGAGAAAAAGAATAAAAGGGTAGGATCTGGAAGGGAGGAGACTGCCTGGAATTAAAAAAGAACTTACAGCAAAAGACTTCCAAAAGATACATTCTAACTGAAATATCGCAACAAAAACCCCAGGAAGAGAAAGTCGAAAAAGAAATGAAAAGATACAACTCGGGACTATCTGGATTACTTGATGATTTCTGGATTCTTGGTTACTGTTTTTAATGATTAAAATCAATCGGCCGGTTATTTAAAATGCTTCCACTTTTAGAAGAACTGAAAATGGAACTTAAAAAGTACAAAGAAGATGCACAAGAAGGGAGAGGTATTTTTGGCTTCGTATTTCAGTTTTTAGAAATGGAGATTTGGAATTATGAGAAACAACAAGAAATGCCTGCAGAACAAGAAGATTGCGACAAAGAAGAAGCCATCTTTAATGAACAAGTAATCCAGGTCTTCCCCAGCACCCCCACACTCCACGGAAGCCTCAGCTGGTGCTTTCGGGCTCTTCCTCACCCAACTGCATGAGATCCTCCGAGCTGCGGGCTAAAGGAGGCAGGGCTCCTCTGGGCTGATCATGCAGGCACCTGGCAGCTGGGGGGGAGGGGAGGGAGAAGAGACCCGAGGCGTGACGTGGGTCTACTTTCCTCCCCATGGAGAACTTTTTTTGCATCCGGCGCGGGTAGTTCAGCGAGAGGCGGCGGCTCTATAACCCCAAAGGCAGCTCTCGCCACGCCCACACACACAAAACACCTACTCTAAACACACGCTCACTATCCCCACAGCGCGAGAATAACAGGAATAACAATCTTCCCTCCCCCACTCTGCCCGCCACGGTTGCGACTTGTGTCCCCGCTCCTTGGCTCAGTTTTTCCTGCAACTAACTCCCGCCTCACACTTTTGAAAGAGCGAGAGCGGCTTGAGGAGTCGTTGAAGCGCGCCCTGTTGGGGGGGTGGGGGGGAAGAGAGAGAAAGGCATATTATTACATGAGCCTTTTAAACTCGTGAGAATGGGCTTCCCGGGCAAAAACCATTTATTTACATCTGGGCAGCCAGGAATCGTTTGCAAAACCGCTTCACCTTCTCCAGTCCTCTTTGCAAACCGCCGCCGCAGCTCTTCCTTTTTGCTTTTCCCTTCCCGAGGCAACGCGGGACTAGAGCCGCATGGAGCTGCGCCGGGCAGTAGCAACTCCTGACTCAGGAGGCCTCCGAGGGGAGGGGAAGGAGGAGAAGAAGGGGGAAGGGGGAGCGGGGCTGATTCCCCCCAAAAATCGGAATTCCGATTTTAGTTTGAAAGAATATCATGTCTGATGTCTGATAAAATAGCTATCGTAATTTAGTGGAATGCTTGTCAATAAATAAATGTAACAAAAGGTATATTTAATGATTTATAAAACATATGTAAAGAGAAATAAGGGAAAAATTAATTATGGAGATTATATGTGTTTTTAAGGAAATATGATATTTAATTGAAAAGAAGTGTTAAAGATGTTAAGATTTTAATGATTATTAATGATATAACTGAACTGGAATGGAATGAGGGTTTATAATTACATATATTTACAATCTTTCTTTCTTTCCTTTTTTTAAAAGAATATAGTGTGTATTATACGAATGTACCAAGCAGAATTTGATTGGAAGTTATGTATTATGTATTATATTGAAGGTCATAAACTTAAGGTATATATTGAAGTTTAAATAAGATTTGAATGGATTTAATTAAAAGATATAAAGGTGTCATACTCCAATTAGTAACTACAGGAGAAAATTTGTTTAATGAGAAAAGATAATATGAAATTGAAACAGAACAGACAAAAGTATAAATATAATGATTTGAATTCAGATAATCAAAATAAAATTGAGAAAATTAAAAGAGGGGAAAACTATATAGAAAATGTAAAATAGTATAAGATATGGAATAAAATACAAAAAGGAGCATGAAATTGAGTTTTGTGTCTGTATAAAGAAGTTCAACCTGGGACCATGCTATTTTCAAAAAAGATGTTTTACTTGTATGTGTGAAAACCCAAATAAAACTTTATTAATTAAAAAAAAGGTATACTGTTGATTCTTAGGAAATAAAATATTTTGGGTTTATATTGTTTCCCAGGGTACATAGATCAGCCTCTGCTGACTTAAATGAGAGTTGTGAAATTAAAACCATTTTCAGTACTCTTTAATGACTAAATTTTTACAAGTTAGGTAGGATAAAGTTCTGGGATACAAACAGCCAGACAATTACTACAGTAGATAGAAACAGCAGATACAGAATATTCTCCCTCTTTCCATCAAAAGCTATACAGAGTGATATTTGGCAGCCTAATATTAGGGACTAACTATGAGACAATTTATATCAGTTTTATACCCATCTATGGTTTTCACCCCTGTCCATCCCTAATGTGTCCCGAGTAGTTTCATATTAGAGGTTTTTCTAATTCAAGCATATATAAAAGACAAAGTTATTTTTAAAAAGGAAAACTGTAAACTGTATACACATTAAGCAGGGGTGAAAGGGAACCTAGGAACTCAGAATTTTCCCATACTGTACTTGTGTCTTTTTTTTGGATGATCTAAGTTCACTTTTTAAACTGTAGACAGATCCTTATTGTATCTGCTCTATCAGACCTAGAAGTTTTGGAATTTATAGTTCCAACCTAATTGCAGCAGAAGACTAAACTAGATTCTGCCTATGTTTAAAAGTGTGGTTTTCTTTCTCCAATTTTCTCTTTCCTTTCTTCTGACACTAATTAGTTATTTTTCAATGCAATGTGCACTTTATCTGTTTAATTAGATGAGGTTGAAAAGACAATTTCTTCAGAACAAATAAACTGCTGCTATATTTGGCACATGCACTCAACTTTTGCTTAGCTGATTGCCATTTTTTCCACAAACAAAAGACAATGGGAACGATTCCAGGCAAAGAAGTCCTTGTCTGCAAGTCTCACTCAATTAAGTGGGAATAAGTCAAGGTGAAGTATTCATGTATTACACCCATACAATGAAATGAATAGCGAATTTCCATTATCAAAATTTCATTTTTAAGATGTACATTCATTTCTGCTGTATTCTTGAAATTATGCTTCCCTACTGTAAAATGTTTCAGATTTGAAAAAAATATCACAGATGACTTAAAGTTTTTCTCTAAGATATGGAAACTATTCAATGTGTTCAAATTAATAGGTTTTCCAGAGTTTTTTAAAATAATGAATATCACTTCATCTTAAACAAAAAAGAAAGAAAATTCTTATAGTTAAGAACATTATGTATATTAATGTTAGATAATTTAAAAGCAAACCGATGACAATCATAATGACATAGAAAAAAATGCACATGCAATTACAAACTGTATAGAGCTGGCCTAAATTTTATCTATATATACTGCTTTTGAAAATAAATACCATTTAAGCCAAAACAAAAATATTCTCTGTTGAAGTAATACCTATGACTATAATTTATAGAACTTAGGTGGGAAACATGTTGTACATATCTTACCACTGCAAACAACAGTGTCATCAACATTTCTTTTCTGAAGTACTGGATACCTGAAGGATATAATTTGTGGATACCTGATCATTTTGTCAGAACACACAAGTCGAAGCACCATAAATTTTTTTCAGTTTCCTACCCTGTATAGATGGCTTCATTGCACTGCTTAGATTTTAAAACGGGATGTGATTTGACCAGTTTTGTGTGATGGCAAACACTGATGCACATGAAAAGTCAAACACCTGAACTGTAAACTACTACAACAGCTGCACATATAATAAGTAACTTTAAGGGTAATATTTGATATGATAATAGCAAACACTGTTAAAAATTAACTGGAAAATTTTTTTTACCAGTCTCTCCATTTCCTGTTCTTTCAGCCTTTCTTCTCTTTGCCTCCTGTGGTAGTCCATCAGGTCTTCTCTTCCAGAAACAGAACTAATGCTGCTCTTTCTCTCTCGAATGGAAGGCGTCTGCCTGTGGCTTTCCAAATCTGTTTCATCAAACTCCATGGAGCTATTGGAAATTCTTCTTCTTCCAGGAAACCCTCTCTCAGCATCAAAGGGAATAAATGAATTATTAGGGCTTGTTTCTGACAATCCAACCCTATCAAAGTCATCAGATGCATATGTGGAAGTAGATGCCAGAAGCATTTTCCTAGCTATCCGGGGGCTTGCAGGGACACTGAGAGTTGAATTTACATAGGAATTCACTTCAGGTGGAAAGTGTGTGTATGGCAATACTCCTGAAGTGCAAGAAGAAAAATGAAGGTAATTGTCGGCATCCAGTATATTTTGAGGTAGAGGGTCTTTTTCAATAGTCTTCTTTCTTTTGGAATTCCCAAAAGAGTTTCTGGGTGGTAAACTCAGTGGTGTGAGTTGGTTTTCTGTTGATTTGTAAAGCCTGGGCAATGACCGACTATAAACTCCCATGTGGCTCAATGAACCACCCGGATATTTTCTGGTTCTAGGCCCCTGAGCTTCCATTACTGAATCCTTTTGTTTAGCTGACCTAGCCTGAACAGATATAATGTCATGTATATTCATTTTCCTGATTTGTTTTGGACTAGAGGGCATACTGGCAGCTCCAGAGCTGCCGAATGGTGAAATAATGATATCATTTCCTGAATTCCCATTCCACATTGTAAGAAGAGATCCAGAGTTTTTCCACCCATCCAGTGCTCCTGGGAAATAGACACTATCATGAGATTTATTCTTCTGACTGTACTTTGAATAGGGAAATTTACTCAGATGTCCAAACTGCTTTTCATTTTCCCTGGTAGCATAAACATCAAAGTCTTTCTTTCCAAGGCTGCACCCACTTAACGATGAGAATGTGCCTGAAATGGGACCCATATGCTTTCGAGAAGCATTTTTGTCTGAAAGATAAGAGTTCTCACAAGCCAAAGATTTGATTCCCTGAATTTTGGAAACAGATGGCATACTTTTAACACTGGATGCAGGGCTCAATTTAGGTGCCAGAGGCTGGGAGAGTGTTAAATAAGAACCAGAGTAGTCTTCATTTGTTTTTAATTTCAGACTTGATGAGTATTTTTTCTGGTTGAGTTTGTCCATTATATGCTGGAGATCACTTTCAAGAGAATTCATAACTACCTCTTTTCCCAAACTGGTATTTTGTAATTCCGCCTGGTTTTGCATATGGCCATATTCTTCCAACATTTTGTTGGAATCTGTAAAAAGAAAAAAGAGAGAGAAGAAGAGGAAAGAGTTTTAACAAGTGAATTATTCACTCTTTTCCTAACTTGCAGTACTTTTACAATTCATACTTCATGCAACTTGAACTCAACAAAAAATTTGTAGCAACATAGATTATAGTGAATGTAAAGATGAGTAATTTTAGAAACTATTTTCAAATCAGAGGATTAAAAAAGTATTCCTGTTTTAAACAGCCCTGTTAATACAGAAAGAATCAAGATAGACCTGTGCGAAATAAGACGCCACCAAATCAATGATGTTAGTGGTACACCAGAAACAAATTTCCTGTATAAGCTATTTATCTTAGCTGCCTGCAAAGAGAGAGAGAAAAAAAAAGAATGGATGGGGGAAAGGTCAAGATCCTTACTTACAAGTAGGTAATAGATTGTATTGGATAAAAGGCAGAAACAGTCTGATATAGCTGTCTCAGTTTCAAGAATAATTTATTTATGCATTAAGTTAAGTGAACTCTTGCCACTTAAAATTATTCTTATAATGGTCTCTCTCATTTTGCCCCCCAACAAACAATGGGTTGATATCAAATTAGTGATAATATAATATTCAGAGTCACATAGTCACAAACACTTCCCTTTTGGGGGAAAACTTTGTCCTACTTTATATATATTTGTACCTTTTCAACAACCCACATTCTTGTTGTACAAAACCCTGAAAAATATGAGTTCAAAATTGTAGATGGGAACTCTGACAAATAACTTTACACTCCAATGTATAGAAGTATGTAACTGAAGGAAGGGGTATGTGTGATATCTCAGTGTACCATCTCATTTATGCAATTAGGAGAGGATTTCTGAATAAATTTGAGTATTGCTTTCCAATCTCTCTCCCTGTTCCAAAGCTCTCTGGATTCATTGGGAAATTTTGCTAGCAAATAGAAACCTATTTTAAAACAATGCATAACATGAAAAGGATTTTTTTCAATCTACAAGGGGGCATTATTCAACTGGATCATTTTCATCATAGTTACCAGATTGATAAACATTATTTCTAATACATGATCTAGAATAATTTATGCTGATTTAAGAAAAATAATAAAATGCAATAGTTCTCGGATGCCAAAACCCTAGACAACATATCATCCTAGGCCCGTGATGGCGAACCATGGCATGCATGACAGAAGTGACATGCCAGCCATCCCCTGTTGCTCTTCCAGGTTCCGGCGCACGTGGTCTTTGCATGTGTATGTGCACTAGAAACAGGAAGACCAAGTGGCCGGTGCACATGTGCATGCCGGAAACCAGAAGCTCAGTTTCCTGGTGCACACATGCACGCCGGAGAGCTGCTCTTCTGGTTTCCAGCGCTCCCCCGTGCGCGCACTCCCATTTCACCAACACTGTCCTAGGCTCATTTCTCTTAATCCCCATTACCAATTAAAGTTAGTAAAACTCATTTCAGAATTTCTCAGGACCTGGATGAAACCTATGACATCATTCATAAAAATAAAGGTGTAAATATGTTAATTTTGCAATCTTATACTTTTTAGAAGTATATTCCAATAGGTCCAACAAATTAATTCTTATGTACATATATTGAAGACTATATAGTCTTAAGGTTTATTGCATGGTCAATTCACAATATCAAAACTTCCTACTGCAATCAAATTATTAGATATCAATAATTTCCTACTACCAATTTAATCAAGCTAGCAGAGTCAGGTTGCAATTTCAAGGGGAAATATATTCATCTTCAAATCCTCTGTCTTTACTTTTGATCATTTTTATCTTTGGAGAAGATACTAGAGAGAATTTCTCCATTTTGTAGGTCTTTAACGAAAACCACAGCATTATTTCCTTGAAATATATTTCAAATTATCAGTGGTAATTTATAAAAAAGAATATATACAAGAGGAAGGGAACAAAGCATGGAAAATATTGTGCATTAGCAAGAACTTTGTATTACTCCACCCAGCACATGCAAGAATATTTTGATTAAAGTGCTAACACGTACAATATTCTAAACTGCTAAATTAAGCTGTTGAAAGCAGATTTTAAGCATCTGCAAATCTGGTTCTTGTTAAATATATAGAATCTTAAAAGAGGTTTAGAGGGGGAAGCAATAATCTTTCTCACTATTGTCTATTTTGATTAGCAGCAGCTCTTTAAATCATCTGGGAAATTCCAGAGATTGAAAATATTTGCATGTGTTTCAAATGTAATTAATTCCAAGAGTTATTTCCAGCATTTTGTATTTATATGCAATACTTTAATCCATTGATTTCAATGGAGATAAAAGAATAGGGGAAATTATTTATTTATATCATTTATATACCAATGAATCAATAAAGACTCACAGTAATTTACAGCAGTCCAATAAATACAGCCATCCATAATAAGCAAAAAAATATCCATAGTACATCATCATAACCAAAATACAAGGGAAACATGGAACCTAACAACCAGCTCTCTATAATTATTATTTTTCATTTTAAAACATAACATAGCAAGTGTAGAAGCAAAATATGAATAGTGCTAATTTTACTCAGCCACAATATTTTTAAAAAGGATGTCTTACTTATGATATTGTCATAAATATGATTTCTGTTATGCCTTAATTGGCACTTCCAGGTTAATACAAACATAACAGCTTATTTTGGAAAGAAGATCTGTAGGTCAACTAGAGTGGAAATTGATTAACTTTCACTGCACAGTAGCTATTTCATATGTTAGTAAACAAGTACTTGCTAATTATTGTTATACTGAAACAATATATTTGCTGTCTTGTTAGTTTCTTACACAGGCAGAAAACCAGAGATTCAACATTACTGAGGAAAATAGAAAACCAAAGTTTATTTTGTGTAGAATATATTCAAACAATGACTCCTGTAGCTATTGCAATTCTAAACATTTTACAGGTGAATAAGTTATTTTGATCATTAATGAGACAGCATGCACCCAGTCTAGTCTAACTTGGACTGTATCATAATTAGTCAATAGTTCTAGGTCATTAAAAGCTAAAGAAACATTACTATAAGTAATGAATTACATACCTGTTCTAAGACTGTGATAGGCAAGATTATTTCTATTTGACATCATGTTGCTGCTCACCAAAAGAGGATTATTACAGCCAAATTAAATGAAAACAGATAAATTCTGACACCTGCAAAAACCCAAAAACAATAAGCTCATAATAAACAATACTTTGAAATGTAGTATCTTTAAAAACTAAGTATTAAAATATTACAGTTTGCTTTCTAAACTAAAATATGCTACAGTTCATGTACAATGTTTAAAATCCAAAAGTCATCACACACACACATACACACACACACACACACACACACACACACAAACCAACCCCCACCCCCCAAACCCCAAAGCAAATAAATCTCATATGAAACAAAACAGTAAGTGAGACTGAAAATAGCCAACAATTTAAGCAGGGAACGTGAGGAAGACAGAAGAGATGCATAATAGAATAAGTATACTTTCAGTGTTTCTACAGTATAGAATTGAATCTAAAAGGCAACTTAAAATGTTATCTACAATACTTGTGTCCATGAAATCATCTCAGTTTTAATAAATGTCAAATCTGCTTTGGCCCTTTCTTTGCATTTTCTCTTGGTTCTGTTTATTAATGGTCAGCTCTTCCTTTTATTAAACAGTAGGAGATTATAGGAACCTCAAATTTGATAATCTCTAGTTATAATGGAATACAACTTGGGGGGGGGGGGGCAAAAGGATTCAGCTGTTCAAGGGACTTCAAGACCTGAGATTTATCATCCTTACGTTCTGGATGGGGTTGCACTGTCACCGATATACCCAGTTGCAAAATCTAGATCCTAGATTCAAAATTCCTGCTCAAAGGATAGGTAGCCGTCATGCCTAGCAGAGCCTTTGTGAAACTTAATGTTGTAAACCAGCTGTGCCCTTTCCTGGATCATGAGGCCCTGCAAACAATCATTTATGTCCTGGTCATCTCCCAATTAGATTACCACAGCATGCTCTACATGGAGCTATCCTTGAAGAGTGTTCGAAATCTACTTTTGATACAGAATGTAGTGATACCGTGTGTACTGTTTTGGAGGCTGTCAGTGGCGCGTGTTACACCACTGTTATGAGTTGTACTGGTTGTCATTTTGCTTAATTCTAATTTTTAAATGTCTAATTCAAGATATTGGTCATTACTTTTAAAGTTGTTTATGGCATGAGTCCAGGGACTCTTAGGAAATGTCTCGCCCCAATGGGATTAACCCACCTTGCTCGTTCCAGAAGAAAAGTCCTATTTCAGATCCAAAGAATTTTGACTGGCAAGATCCAGAAGAGCCTTTTCTGTTGTGGCCCCACCCTCTGGAATATTCTGTCATTAGAAGTGAAATTCGACCTCACATTCCTGGCCTTCTGGAAGAGCTACAGCTGTGCTATTTGGCCTAAAGCCCCCAAAGAACCTGATACGTTGGGGTTGGCTGATGGGCTAAAGAAGATTCTCATCTCCCAGAATGTTTATGATATTGGTTTTTAACTTTTAACTTCTCTATTCAATTTTTAATTTTTTTAGCACTTTTTAACTTTTTATTTTATTGTAAGTGGCCCAAAGTTGCAGTATCAGTGAGATGGATGGCATACATGCATAAATGCATACATACATACATACATACATACATGCAAACTTGTTCTATCTGCAACAACAAACATGTTAAATGACTCTGGATGAAAACAAAAGCAAATTTTTTTTGCTACTGAATCATCTGAAAGGACCACAGGGAAGATCACAGGAACATATTATTAACATGTGGTTACAACCTTATATTCATTTAATTAGGGCCAAAGCCAAATGAATTCTGTGGGGCCTCCTGCACATGTCTACACTCCCATCTTCTTCATGTTATTATGCAGTGTTGAAGTGTGTTCTCACCAAAGATTATTAAACGACTCCACTTTTTGTCTGCTGCATTGAAAATATATGTCATAGATGAGTGATCTAGGCATAAATAATTGAAAGTATAACAAATGCTAAAAGGTCTATTCATGTTCCCCCTTCAATAGGCTCATGAGTTCATAGAGCACTTAGTCTAAACATATTTCTGCTCGTACATATTAGAATATTTAGTAGAAAACAAGACAGTTTAACTCCCATAGCTTTATAAATATTTATCAAAAGAATTCTATCAATAAAGTTTCTCTGAAAGATACTGATAATAATTTGCATTTGAACTTTCTAAGGAAAATAAAATTCAAGGAATAAGAAGTTTTAAAACAAGCAGACTGTTTTATTGCCTTAAAGGGAGAAAAAAGTAAGTGTCTAGCAATATGTAAGTAATAAAATCAACCATAACTGAAAAAGTTGCATACACTCAATAGGGATTATACACATATTTATAAACGATGGACTCTTGTTTCAGCTCGGAGGAACTAGACCAGCATGCTATGAGGTGAGATGCCACCAATAAAGTGGCTCAGATATACAAACAGCCCCTGTCAATCTTCTCAAACTCATATCATATTCACTTTCATGCACAGAAACATTGCCTTCATTCACAATAGCTAAAATTATTTCAAAGCCTGAAGTGATTATTCAAGGAACAGTCAGAACACTTTAAAGTGGAAGGTGAACCATTTTGTCCCGAAGAGAGACCACCCCAGCCCTACTTGTAAGCTATTCTCTCTTCCTTTCCAGGTAACAGCAGATTGCAAGTGTTTCATCTGAACTCTAAATTGTGATTGATTTTAACTATAGTCAGGCAGTTTTCTCAACTATTGCTAATTGGTTTGCTAGTGCATCCATTATCCAGAATTGAGTTTAACATTTTTACCAGGATTGAGATGACACAGCAAGTTATGTTTAATTCAATATTAATATTAAATATTCTTTAAAATATTCCAACCTTAAAGTCTGACAGTTGATGTAGACAATTCTAGAGGGCTTGACTCTCTTTCCATCCTATGCATTTTTATGAAGGCAGGCTTAAATAGCAATATATCAGAAACAAGCCCCTTTGTGACCAGTAAGACTTATTGCAATAGAATTTTTTTGCATTGTATCTACATACCTACCTTCCTACCTACACTAAACCTGTTTACTTGTTTGTTTGCTTGTTTGTCTCCTTAAGTTATTCCAAATGGTGCATTACACAATTTTTGAATCCAGGCTGCTAAATTAAATAATGCACAAAAAATAGGGGCTTTATTTCTCTTATAGAATTGGTATTTCCACGTTCAGACCTTTTATTTACAAAGTTACGGCCATTGCAGCATCTCACAGTCACACCAATATGATTTTTCTATCTTTCCATAAGCAAAATGAATAGGGAAGCAGTTAGAATGTGGAGATCATTCATGTTCCCACTAATTTTTGCCCACACACAATCATTTTGTTGATAAGTAAATACTGACTTACTCAAAGTTTGTTTGCCACAATTACTTTTATATTTATGATATATACTTTTCTTAAATGATCATGGGATGCAGCACTGGAGTAAAAAATGTGGTTGGCTTAAAAATTAATGTTCATTCTGATCATATCAGGCTGCACTGTATACCTTTGTCTCAAAGGATAACCCAATGAGTCACGGGGTTTTCTAGTCATGAGTAATTCTTTAAATCCATTAGTTCTTAAACATGTATTTAACAAAGCAAGTTGTGGACACATATTACAGATACTCCTTGACTTAGGAGCAGAATTGAGCCCCAAATTTCTGTTGGTAAACAAGACAGATGTTGTGAGTTTGGTCCTATTTCTTGCCAGTTAAGTGAATCACTGCTGTTGTTAAGTTAAGCGGTTAAGTTAATGATATAATTAAGTGAATCCAGGTTCCCTATTGACTTTTCTTGACAGAAGGTTGCAAAAGATGATCACATGACTCCAGGACATTGCAATTTCATATGCCAGTTGCCAAGCATCTGAATTTTGACTGTGTGACCAAAGGGAAGCTGCAATGGTTGTGTGAAAAATGGTCATAAGTCACTTTTTTCAGTGCTGTTATAGCTTTCCAGTTTCATTTGTCATCTGAAAGGTTGATAAGAATGAAAGACACAAATGTACTATAAAAAAGATATTGATGGCATGCTGATTTCTAGTTGCAAATGTCTGGTCCTTGAAATGTGTAAAACTCTTGACAGCATTTTAAATATGTTGCTGAAAGTATTTGTAACATTTACTTCCTTTATCAGTAGGGCAATTATATGTATAATAGGCTTCCAGTGCCTCAGGCGCAGGCTACAGAACAAGATGTGCTTCCCATGCAATCTTGGGTCAACTTATTATCATCTTCTAAACTAGGCCAGGCTCAAGAGAAGTTTTTCCTTGATTCAGAATATTTAAGTCCATCTCCCCCTACCCACCCATTCTTTGAAGAAAGACTTGCTCAATTTTTGATTTTAGAAAACTTCAAGAACTTATTCCAAGAAAGAAGCACTCTCAATCTCCCATTTAGTTGTGTCAAAGTAGAAACAAGAATCAAGCTGACATCAAAGCTCTGTAACTTGCTTTCCATGCACTTAACATAGTTCTGCAAGGCAGTTAATTATTATGTATATATTTAAAACTCTGCTCAGTACACGTGACCAGCATTACCAAATCAGTCACCTACAAAACACTGGACTGGAACAATAGTTAAGGGAATCTAACAGTGACATAATAATAGCTTTCATATCTAACTGCTATTCTGTCCACTACTTTGCAAAACACAGAATGTTTTCCATTATTTTTACACATATAGTTGTTTAGATGTCACTAAAACAACTGTGGATAACATCAATAGTAATCGTGTTTGAAATGCCTCACACTTCTCTGCACTTCTTCCATAGGAAAATGAAGTTATTTCAGCATCTCTACTGCACATTCCCATTTATAAAATGCAATAGCATAAAAAACCCTCCAATAACCAGTTCTTATTAATTTGTTTAGGAAAATAACCTTGAAGTCTTATACAGTCATAAGATTTAAAGGTCTGCCTCCCAACTCTTATAACCCATCTATTAGACTAGATGCAGACCCCCATTTTTATCCCACATTGCTTAATTTCATCTACAGCACCTTCAAGAACAACAGATTTATTATTTTCTAAAGATTTATAACTTAACAGGAATTATCCTGGCAGCCATGCTTTCAACAAATGACATGTTGGACTTAGAAGAAATGTAGGGAGCCTTCTTTAAAGCTCCATGGAGGTCAGCATGATACAATGTTAGGCCAATGGAGCAAAAAAATTTAAATACACAAAGCAAAGATGTGATCGGTCTTTTTGTTCCCTCAAATTATCTTTCTCCCATTGTGCCAAAGAATCACTTGGCAAAGTAGGGAAATTATGATGGATTTGCAGACGGATATCACTGGAGAAAGTCAAAAAGCTTCCTTCCAATCTCATTAACTTCAGCCCTTCTAAAAGAGCACCAAAACCTATTATGACTTAGAATAGATTGAGCCTGAAACTGCTGCCTTTTAGCTCTTAGGCAATATGAAAGATGTGCCTCTACCTCCTCTTTCTTATCTTTCATACATTGTAGGTGGTTTTGTAGAATGTTTTGATTGTTGGCTTTATTGTACACCATCCAGAGTCACTTTGAGTGAGATGGGTGGTCATATAAATTTAACAAACAAATCAATGCACTCGTTTGCCTACAAACAGTAAATATACATCTTCATTTGCTGGTTTTTTGTAGAACAATGTCCCCTGCTCTAATTTAATTTCCACTATTGGAAAACCTACTTTGCTGTATTAAAAATTCCCAAAGGGAAAAGCAATAAAGTATTTTAAAAAGCTTTGTTTTTTTTCCAAGCACAACTAATAGAGGAATACTTAGCAAGTAAAGAATCCCAGGGAGAAGAAGTACCAGTACTTAAAAAAATGAAATACTACCTGGCTGGGAGAAATTTACTTAGTTCTGTATTTTCATAAAATCTGTCTCAAGGCAAGCGCTAATCTCCTCAGTTCCAGGGGATCCAGCCAATGTGCTTAGCACATTATTCCCAGTGAAGGGGAACAGTTACACCAAGTCAGCAGTACTTCGGTTTGCAAACACTGGCTGTCCCATTTTAATCCGAAAGCTTGGAAAGCTAATGTAAGCAATCCGGTAGCGCACATGTGCGGAACTGGGAAGGGGAAAGCATCCCGGATTGCTGAAGAAAAGGACGGAAAGATCCTTTTCCTTTTTAATCCATGGAAAGCACCGCCCAGCTAAACATTCACCTCACTTCAGGCAAAACAGGCTGCCTCCTGAAAATAAAAGCAAAGCGGGGAAAGAAGTGCGAAGGGTCTAAGCTTTAAAATAGTAATACTCGAGGGTAAATAGAGGGGGGGAGGGGGAGAAACAAGGGACCAGTGTTAAACGTTTCCTCCGGCACTGGTTGCTCGATTTCCGGACTCCGGGGACTCAAGCGAGAGAATCCTTTCTCAAGCGATGCCTCTTTCTCTGCCTTCCCACCTCGTCGGATCCTCCGCTGGCTCTCGCGCGCAGGACAAAAGCTGCCTGGGTCCCCCAGCGTCGGCCCACGACTCACCTCTTCGTCCTCGACCTTGTTGTACATCCTTCTCTCTTCGAGCCCCTCCAGAAACTCGCTTTCCGTCACTTGCTTCAGCGGAGTCTCCTTCCGAGCCGGACAGGCTCCTTCTCCTCTCCCAAGCTTAACCGAAGCAACAATCAGTCCCGCCCATTAGGGTAGCCCACCTCCGTTTTCCAACAAGAAGAAGCAAGCCAGCACCCCTCCCGCTCTTAGAATGGTTCGTTCCCTTCGGGAAAAGTGTTAGAAGGCAGGACTGAAGAACATTAAAAAGAAGGGGGGTGGGGAGAGAAACTAATGTTATGCTCATATTCTCCTGGCGTTTGAAAAGCTTTTCAGCGGATCGCTCTACATCCGTTTTATGAGCCCCGAACAGTGACCCCAAACAAGAGAGGTAATATCTTGGAACGTTTTACACTAACTTCAAATTCCATCCAAGCACTCCAGAAAATACAACTGCGCTTTTATAGCCGGTAGCTAAGTTTGGCTAAAGTTTTTTAGTGGCAAAGAAAGACTATTGTCTTTGTGTTCAGCTCTGTCATGGGAAGGATCGTTTGGTCCGGTGGGCAGCCTTTAATTCAGACCTCCTGGAAGTTACTTTAAAGGTGCAATACCTCCTATGCTACATGCTTCTTATCAGCCACCACTTGTACCTTCTGTTTGCCCGACTGCTGGAGGGCGCATTGCAAATAGATAATTGATTTACTGTAAAGGCACAGCTCCTGGTTGGTGATTTAAAAAAAAAAAATCCCCGCCAGAATTTCTCTCCGGTGACATCATGCAAACAAATGTCTCGGAAAAATGCACCCGGAGCGGGGTGAAGGGTGTTGCTTTCAGCTTGACAAATTTATCCCGTAAACTTTGGACTGATTTTCTGCAAAAGCGCAGGCTAGGAAAAGAGCAAACAGTTTTTCACCCTGAGTCAGCTTCCTATCGCTCTGACATCAGCAGAAAAATAGACCTGGGTTTTAAGAAAGGCGAGCCAGAAAGCGGGATGGGGGGACGAGAGAGAAAATGCTTGGCTTTCCCTCTCCCTCCTTGTTCTCCTCCAGTCCAGAAGTTGGACGACGCTCAGACTGACAGGAAAAGGATGTCTGCTGGAGCCCCACTCCCACATAAATCCAGCTGTACTTTTTCGGCCGTTTTCACAGAGGCTACAAGAATGTAGACAGACTCAGTTAACATGACTACTCTCTTTGGGCTCCTCTAGGTCAAAACTCCTCAAATTGTTTTGTTGGGCACCCTGGAAAATTCTGTTCCAGACAAATGTATCATGAACCCAACAAAATAACGTCATCTGAACACTTTGCCAAATTTAGATTCAGAGTTGTATACAGTACAACATTTCTGTCTTGTACTGCTACATCTTGGGCATTGTAAGATCAACCTGGAAGAGCTATTCACAGAGCAAGAAAGGAAAGATAAAATATTTGTTTGTTTATAAAATTTACATAGAATAGAATAGAATTCTTTATTGGCCAAGTGTGGTTGGGCACACAAGGAATTTGTCTTGGTCACCCATCTCAGTGGAAAGTAACTCTGGATGATGAACAACTTATAAAACAGTAAATGTTTAAAAATATTTTTTTTAAATAAGGCTAAGAGAGAACAGTATTAACAATATGAAGCCACCTCAAGATCTCACAAGTCCCCAGGACCAGGATACTCAAGTCTGATAACATAACTGGTTTTGGGAGAATTCCAAAAAAACCAATAGAGATGAAACCAACCACACTGGGGATGGATGGGGGAAAGTAATATTCCATAGGGCAGGCATCCCCACAGAAAGTGGTCACCACAACAGAGAAGACCCACCTCCTGGGACCTGCCAAATGTAGTGCACTTGCAGACAGGTCCCATAGCATACTTTTTCTGCTGGATCTGATGGTATGGGCTCATAATCAAGAAGAAGCAGTCCCTCAGATAACCGGGCCCCATGCCATGAAGGATTTTAAAGGTCAAAACTATCATTTTGAACTAAATTGCAGAAAAATAGGGCAGAGGCTGCATGAAGTTAGTTTTAAAATGTTTATGCAGAAATTTGTTCTGCGGACATTCAAATTAATGTAACAACTGCTAAGCAAGTTCATTTAACAAAGGAATTACAGTAATTTAATTTTGTTCTGGAACCTTTAATTTATTCTAGTTGTTTCTTTTTATACAAATTAATATACTGCACAAATTTATTTAAGACGAATATAACAGTCTGTTCAATCTATCCCTGTCCTGGTGAATGTAGTTCCCATTGCTCTGCTTCCAGTTACTGCTTGTCCTTGGGTGGATTTATCAAGAAATGTGTATTACTTGGTGAAGGCATGCCAGAACTTGCCATGGACTCTTTTTTATCCCCTTAGATTATCAGTTCCTACAGTTTTATGCTACAACCTATTTTGATATATTATCTTCAACTTGATGTAGTCTGGAGTTTTTAGTTTTTATTCAGCGCTGCAAATATTTGCAACACAGCAGTTTCAGTCAGAACCATATCATGCTGCACTCAATGTAAAGTTAATGTAAAGGTCTATTTAGATATTTCTTGAAAATATGATTTTATGTTTAAGTCAGTGTCTTGTAATATATTCCTAATTTGTAAGTGAATTGCAACTAAACCAATATTTAATTTGGATAGGAGCAATATACAGTATAATACAACATTAATATCTAAACCAATTCATATAATTCCTGATGTCTAGCTTACTCCAAAGACAAAAGAACTACAACCATATTAAGTGATATAATACCTTATCTACTACTAATATAGTAATTTCATATCAATCCAAGAAGAAACATCATGATCATTTTTAAGATGGCTGTTTTCCATAAAGTTTGATGAGAGAGTTGTGTTTTTTAATTGTAAGAAATGTTTTATGTTATGTATGTGCATATATGGTACATAATCAGTTGATTCTGTTAATAGTGAGAATTCTATAGCATAGCTCTTGCAAATTCTGTCTACAGAGGAAGAAACAGAAATTTTCCTGGATTTCATAAGAATACATTATCCAGTTTTGCTTTGACAAATGCCATATTTATAGTATCATATATATTATAAATTCCCTTAAATAGGAAACAGTGTTCTGGCAGAACTAGCTTTTAAATAGCTGCTCCATTAGTTTGATGCAATGAAATCCATATGCACGCTAAGGGTAATTACCTTGGGTGTCAGATTATCATAAAGAAACAAATGACAACAATTCTGATGAAGCCCATATACTTGTGCTTTATCTATGCTGTCTATGTTGAAAACTATATGGGAATGCTATGCATGTGCCCTGGGGTTCTATAATAAAAAATGTAAGATGTAAACATTAATGATATCAGTATAATACAGTTGGGACCACAGCAAAATAATTTCAATATGGAGTGTTCTTACTAGTGTTGGAAGAATTATCCTTCTGGGTTCAGTTCCAAGTGGGGAAAAAGACGCTGGAAACATGGAGGCTGTTTGGAAAAATGTTTTAATGGTGAACAGGACCACATGGCTTAGAGCTCCAAAGTAAAAAGGATGATCATATGTTGGGTGAAGGAAAAGAAGAAGGGGAAAAAAGGCAAGATGCTGAAAGTGCAATTGTTTTATACCCTCTGTTGGGCCCCACCTTAGTGTTTCCTGTTCCTGTGTAAGAAATGTATCCCATTGGCTGTTACACTCCCAGAGGCAGGGGTCTTAGTTCACTTTGTAGGCTTTGTCTGGTTTCACCTGAGTGCTGGCTGATGCAATCTTCCCAGGCCAGGTAGTGAGATGGCCAGAAGCCTTTGTTATGTAGAATATTCTGGCCCAGGCCTTAATGGCCTGCCCATTAACAAAGGTGGGGGTGAGCCTCTGCTTCTGAGATGAGATTCTGCTTCTGAGTTTCTACTTTTTTTAGGGGAAATATGCCTTTTTAATAGTTCCTAGGATATTTCATTTTTCTAGGAGAGGGGCGGGTGCTAACTTTCTAAACTAGGATTCCAGGCAGGCAGCTGGAATAAGTGAAGGATATTGCGTTCACTTGTCTCCATGATCAAGTCAGTCAGTTTCTGTGCTGCCTGTGCTTGTTTTCTAAGTGTTGTGTCTGGGGAATGGGAATGATAGCCCTTTGTTTAAGGCAGTCAATACCACTATTCCTAACACAGCCAATGAAAGGTCTGATGAAGACCAGCAGGCAGTTTGCCACATAGCACATGACCATAATATATTTATATTGATATTGATATTGATTTATACAAAATGTCATCCAGAAGTATCTATTATCTAATTAGCACTGGATGCCAATGACCATCCATGTAGCCCTTCTCTACTCTTCCATCTTGAGAATGGGCGTCCCAATTCGTAGATGTTACCTACTTCTTCTGCAAACTTTGCAATTTCTCCAAATCTTTTTTTTCCCTTCTTATTTGTGCATTTTGACAGTAGAAGGATACTCATTTGGAGAATAAGTTTATTTTATTTATTTATTTATTTGTCAAAAATTTATAATATAACAGAAACAAGAATGAACATAAGTTTAAATACAAGAAATAGGAACTAATAATTGGGGACAATAGGACACGGATTGGCACGATTGTGCGTGATTGTGAAAGTGACTGAAGCTTCCATTTAATACAGGTATATTAGTTTCATTTAATTTGTGATTCTGCAATCTCTACACTTTCTTTTTGTTTCTGGTTGTTTTTTCTATCTTATTTTTATGTTTTAAATAATTTTAAACAGCCTAAAGTCTTTGAGAGTTGGTGGCATACTGCATAAATTTAGTAAATAATAATGATGATGATGATGATAATAACAGTAGTAATAGTAATACCCATGGCTGAGCCTAGATGGCTATGAGGTGCGGTCCCTATGGTTATGAGATTGCTGGTTTTCGGATTGGTAGTGGCTTAGCCACTGTGAACCAACCCAGACACCTACCAGCACTAATTATGAGAAAAAATCAACAAAATTCCATACAGGGTCAGTCGTCGCCCAGGTCAATGAGGATTGCATCAGATGCTGTGGCTCCTGAACATCTGTCAAAAAATGGGCTACAAGGTTCAGCTGCTATTGCTAGGGAACCAGGGCATGCAACTGTAAAGCGACTGGGACAAAAGCACAAGTTCAGTTGACTGAGTTTCATGTTTAATGAATAAAAGA